ACAGCTGGTGTGGTGGGGGCAGATGAGAGACCTGTATGTGTTCTGTGTCTCAAAACTTTAGCTGCAGACAGCATGAGACCCAACAAATTAAGACGGCATTTAGAGACAAAACATCCCAAACACATGAATAAACCGCTTGACTTCTTCCAAAGAAAACTCTCGGAATATCGTCAACAGGAAAGTCGAATGATAAAATCTACCTCAGTTAATAAAAAAAATTTGTACTTTTATTAGATGTTTTATTTAGGTTCCATGTGTGAAAGATTTTAATGCTGTTATATGAAGTTACGGTTTTAAAATGTAATGTTATTTCAATAAATTTGAACAGTTAAACTTAAAGCCCAGTTTATTACAATTTTGTTGGGTACGATTTGGGTCAGGTGGGGCTTACAACCCTTCCATACCTCCAAAGTGGGCAATGACAGAAAAAGTTTAAGAAACACTGCCATAGAGGGTGCATATGGGCAATTTGGCAATGCCAATTCACGGTCTGCTAATTTGGCACCCCTCATAAGATGGCACCCTAGCCTATGTTGGATTGAGCTGCCCTGCTTACAAGCCAGAAAGGCATAGATTTATGCAGTATTTTGATATAAAGACATAGAAATTACAGTTTACATGGTGGGATATTTGGGTGACGGTTATTTGGACCATTTCCTGGGGATGGTCTCACCTCTCCTGACTCCACCAAAGATCCCAAACTCGCCTCTCCATCCTGACACCATTAGAGGTCCCAAACTCGCCTCTCCATCCTGACACCGTTAGAGGTCCCAAACTCGCCTCGCCATCTTGACACCGTTAGAGGTCCCAAACTCGCCTCTCTATCCTGACACCATTAGAGGTCCCAAACTCGCCTCTCTATCCTGACACCATTAGTGGTCCAAAACTTGCCTCTCCATCCTGACACCATCCAAACATCCCAATGCACTGCTGCACATGCAGGGTTGGCCTCATTTGCCCTCCAATATCACGTTTTCAGCCTTGTGGATCTTCTTATAGGGTGTCTCTACTCTTCAGGGGACATACTCTGACTGTTTTCTCTTTACCATAATATGTGTTTTGTGATTCATATTTTTTCTTTATTCAAATGGGATCAGGTATCCACACTTTCATAATCACTTAAATTAAATTTTGAATTTTTTTTTTTTAATGAATAGGCTACATACATTTTTTATTCATACTGACTTTTTGGTTTGTCTGCTTTTCGGATTGCAGGTGTTGGTATTGGGAAAGATCAAGGTCCATTATTAAGAGGGTTCCTGCCTCTGTTCTAGGGCTGTGCGATGTGGCATAAAATTCATATTGCGGTATAATTTGAACCATAGACGGTATATATTGCGATATATGATTTGATCTGTAAATTTCAATGTAACTGGTAACATATGTCCATAACAAAGGCATTGCAGCAGGAAGTTGTATAATAAACTGTTAACACATTTCAAAGTAGTCATGAACGTAGAATATTCATCGTGCAGATCTGCAATTATAGAAAAAATATCAAAACATTTCAAGTAACTTCTCTGGTTTTATCTTATATTAAAACACAGGTTGGTTTTGTAAAATGTAAGTAAGTGTCACGCCCGGCTCATACGATCCTCGTGTGTACCACGCCCCCTCATTTACCTCATGTGAATTCCCGATTGTGATCACCTGTGTCCTGTTATTTCGGCTAATCTTGTGTATATCAGTCCGCGTCTTCCTCTGTTTCCTAGATCGGTCATTGATGTTGTCTGCCGTGTTTGCTCGTCTGTCCTCAATAAACCCCGTTTGCCAGTATTACCGGCTCCACGCATCTGTTTGCCTGTCAGTCTGTGTGGCGGATGTCACAGTAAGCAGAAAACAAGACACAGAACCAAAAGCTACAAAACTAATACAATTAAACTAGTGTCATAACTCCATCTATATTAGTATGACCCTCTCTCCCATAAAGGTACTGCCAGGCAGAGTCCTGCACGGGTTCGGGTACCCGACGGGTGACCCGCAAATTTGATGAAACGAGTGAAAAATATTCTGTGGCGGATACGGAATCGGGTCGGGTCGGACGCTGGAGAGCGCGTGTCCGAATTTCGGTTTTCAAAACAAATAATACCCTAGGGCTATATTTTAGTGACACACAAAAAATCCCTGCATTCAAGATGATAAAACGTAAAATCCATATCAGTTTATGCCTGCACGCGCATTCCCGGAAATCTCTCCCACTTTCATTTTAAAAAAACGCATGCATTCTCCTGCAGTTGTTCGAAAATGAAATGGATGCTGAGGAGTTGAAAAGAAAACTAGCAAATGTAGAGTTTAAAGTTGTGGCCAATAACTCCACTAAAATCAAGTCCGACGTTTGGGAGAATTTCGGGGTTATTTCAGATAACGAAAACAATTCTTTTGACGTCTTGGGGGAGAGTGCATGAGCGTTTGTTTCCCAATATTGCTCATATTGCGAGATCTACTCTCGCCACTCTGGCAGCCAGCGCCGCAAGTGAGCGAGATTTCTTATGAGCCGGATGTGTCATCCAGGAGTGAATTCCGTGTTACTATGAAAAATATAGTAACAAAAAGAGGTCGCACGGTTTTATGTAACGGTTTATTAACTTGATTTATTCTTTTTTTTTGTGGTCTAGCTCTCTAACAATTATAGAACTATAGGAGTGAAGCCCGTTCTTCTGTGCCACTATGAAAAATAAAGAAATCTTTCAGAAACAATTTATTAAGACAGCCCGCAGGAACAGTATTTATAAATATATAAAAACTGACTGGATATGCATGGCTGTTGAGTGAATTGCATGCTACATGCTAGTGAATTGCAGTCAGATTCAAACTTAGGCCAGCTGCGTTTTTGTACTTGATGCCATGGAGACGCTTTTTGAGGCTCGCGCTCCCTCGCTCACCCTCACGCGCAGTTCAAAGCACTGTCACGGGTAAGACGCGACACTCTTCTTTGTGCATAAAACTTTAATAAAATCCTCTAAGTATCATATTAACGTGTATAAAGTGATAAAATACGATTGTTTGAAACACATTTAGGCGTAATCCTACATTATTTTTTAGTGTCATTGGTATTAAACCGATTAAATCAACATTTAAAATTCCTGTCCTGTCAATTCCTGCTGACAGTTTTAATTAATTTAGCAGTAATGACGTAATCAATGGATTGGGATCAAACATTCCATAAATGCTTTTGTTACAGGGCACAGGTTCTGAAGTAAGGAAGCAATATCCGGCCATCGATACTGATGACTCAGAATGAAATGTTCACAAGATGACCTTTAAAATGTGTTGTCTTAATATTTATGTTGTATTTTTCTTAATGGCATTTGTTAAATTAGAAACTTAAAGAAAATTTCTAATGTTCTTACAATAAAAATATATATTTCAACGAATTTTTAAAAAAAAATTCAAAGAAGGTCAAAGCTGAAGGATATCCTGTGGCTGTCCTCTGGACATCCTAATGGAACATTAATAAACAGAGAAATACTTAAGACAAAATTATATCTATTTAAATGCTATTCCAGCAAGCTGTCATAATGAATTGTTTTTGAAGGATTTCATTACTTTTCATGAAAGAATGAATGAAAGTTACATTATATAGAACTATAGACACCCAAAGTGCTTTATAGATGCAATAGGGAGCCACTTCAGCCACCTCCACTGTGTAGCACCCACCTGGATGATGTGACATCAGCCGTTCTGCCCCATTACGCTCACCACACAGTAGCTAAGGTGGTGAAGGAGCAGGAGAGAATTTACCAGTTAGATAAAGGGGATGATTAGGAGGCCAGATTTGATAAGCCACCTTAGGTAACATTTGATAAGGCAACAGTGGGCAATTT